TGTCTCTTATGTATCAAAAGTTATTGCTCCCCTAGGAATTTGTATATTTATTTACAAATACCCTGCTGTAATGCAAAAGTGGTTAACATCAGAAAGAATACACAAGCCCAGTCTACAGCATTTATATAAAACTTTAAAGTACCTTCCCAGGCATACCTTCCCAGTCGGCTGCTCTTTTGCTAAAGTAAGAGGTTGGCTGGATGGAGGGGGACTGCCATCTTGTGAATTTTGTTTTGTACTGCAGCTGGGTGATAGCTGGGGCAGATGTAAGCAGAGGGCAACATAATCTGCAAAATCGGGCTCTGGTTAAAATTTAGGGTCCTGATGCATTATAATTCACAAAATATCTGGATAGGTAGCAGTCAATCATGTTTGGCTGCCTGGAACAATGGGAGAAGCATTTTTGTATAGACAGGCAATTTATCATGCTAAATACACTGGTGGCATTTAACATTCTCTAAGAATAACCATGAGATGGAGTCAACTTGAAAGCACATAACAAACTAAGACTTTGGACAAAGGGCCTGTGATGTGATCAGGAACACTAGCCATCTTCCTAGCTGTGGAATAAGATGGTTGTACCTTTTGTGTCATCAGAAACGGGGAAGCATAGTTGTTTTTAATCTTTATGTGACTATCAGTCACTGGTGACAAACCTATGCCTACTTAATGTGAGACAATTTCCATTTAATTCAATGGGATTCACTTCAATATATATATATGGATTGGATCAGGTTACACACACACACACACACACACACACACATACAGGGAAGAATGCATCAATCCTTAGTTTTTATAAACCCAAAAGCCATCTTTAAGCACAATTTGCAGGTTTAGGAGCACTTCCTATTCTTTTCCTCTTTTGCTATCTCTCACACATGCCTGATGACCAGGTTGGTAATTATTATTATTATTATTATTATTATTATTATTATTATTATAATATACTATCTTTCCCCCTAGTTTGGAATTCAAGGCTGGTTACAGCAGTTAAAAGAGTTAAAAATATGGCAAGTACAAAAGTTGTTTAAAAAAACATTGAGCTAGCCGTAAAATTAAAACATGTTAAAAACATAATTATTAAAAATGACAAACTCACAGTTAAAACACAATTCTGCATGGCATCATCCCCTCGAGCAGTCTTCAACACCCTTCAGAAATAATAATAACAAAGTCTTAACTGGCCTATGGAAAGATTGCAAAGAAGGTGTCAGTCTATCCTGTCTCAGAAGGGAGGTCCAGAGTCTGGAAGCAGCCTCCAAGAAGGCCCTCTCCTGTGTTCCTACCAGGTGTACCTGTGAAGGTGGTGGGACACAGAGCAGTTCTTGACAGGTCAACCCCATCTCATTCCCTGAATTTCAGGGCCAAAATCCAGAGACCAAGGGATGTGTCTTTGAAATGCCACAGAGATGGGTAGGCAATAGTTGGTTAGTGAGCTAGAACTGCTCCTGGGTTAACTGATTGGGGAAAGAGGCATGAAGGCAATCTGGATAGAGACCGGGCTGAGAATGTCAACAAATCCCAATTAACTAGGTGATGGATGTGTCAACCCTAAATTGGGGGCAGGGGAGCCATAGCATGTGGAAAAATGTGCCCAGTAATTGCATACAGTGCTGTCATTCCTACATGGTCTTACACAGGATATGTGAGGATTTTTTCCAGGCCCTATACAGGCTGAGGCTTGCCAGAATTCCTTCCTTAGGATGTATCCCCACTGCAAAATTAAAGCAGTTTAATACAACTTTAACTGCCAGGAGTCTGCCCTACAGAATTCTGGGATTTGTAGTTTGATGAGGCATCAGGGCTCTCTAACAAACTAGGCTGAATACCTCACCATACTACAAATTCCAGGATACTGTAGTGCCATACCCATGGAAGGACAGGTTGCACACCTGTAACAGTATTTCT